TTAAATCTAGAGTATGATTTCGACAATGAGTAGGTCCTGACATGTGTTGTATAACCCCAATAGAGTTCAGAATGTCTATGAATGCTGATCCCAATGCATCTTTTTCATAATCAACATGGATATTAAAATCACCAACAATTAAGACTTTATCTGCGGCCAGCACTAACTCAGATAGAAAATCATCAAATTCTTTAATAAAGTCTGTATGGTGCCCTAGTGGCCTGTATACAGTAGCCAGTACAAACATCACAGGGGATTTATCATTAACACTTATTACTCTAGATAGTGTTATATCAAGCACCATTGCTTCAAACTAATTATACTTGAAACCCAACCTCTGAGGAATACTGAAAATATTACTATAAATTGTAGCAACACCTCCCCCTTTAACTTTTGGACGGTAAAGCTCATGTCTATAACAGTAATCTTGGAGGGTAGACTCATTTAAAGTAATGTAATCATCTGTTTTTAGCCAGGTTTCTGTCAAACAGAGCACATCCAGGTTATGATCAGTTATCATATCATTTACAAAAAAATGATTTTGTAAAGGAATCTAATATTCATTAACTTTATCATTTGTTTATCTTTTTGTTTTAGCTTTTATGTTAATCCATTGACAACAAGAACACTCATTGCTCATGAGTCATGACTGAATAACATTTGTCTTTCACAAGGATTTTTCTTTTTAATGAAAACTATGTATTTTTTACATTTGATTATTCAATTTCTGCACATGAACACCTACAAACCTGCTTTTTTGTGCTATTGCTTGTAATTTGCTTATTGTGAAATGTGTCTAGTATTGACAATTTTGCTGTTATATAATACGTTTCTTTATGAGAATGCAAAATAGCAAGTGTTTATAGAAAAAAATAATGTTAGCAATTTTATTATTATTATTATTATTATTATTAAGAGTAATATTATTATTCAGCAGGCTGGTGCAGATTATTCAGGCCCCTCATTCTTTTAGAGGCCCACCCACCAACTGTATCCACCACTGCTTACATATTAATTTAATCCTATATATGATGGCTGTTGTGCTCTGATTATTTTATTAATTAAACAATAGATCAAAACAAACCTGTTTTGTATAGTACTGATTATTGACGTCCATTCATCCAAAGTATATCCTATATATAGAGTCTCTGGAGTGCTGAATGATTACTGACATACAGCAGATTAAATAATATAGTCTTGAGGAAAGAGGTTAAGGTAGCGATCTGGGAACATTCTGCAAACTTAAAAAGTTATAACTTTTACTGGCTAACCAAAAACAAACGTTACAAACACGTTGTGGGAATGTTCCCAGAAGGTGTTTTTTTTTTTTTTTAGTAAGGCGTAAAAAAATACAACGATGCGTAAGTCTAGTTGGGAAGTAATCATTCAGAACTGTTTGCAAATAATATTAAAAAATATGCACACATGCACTTTTATTTGTATTGCCTAATATATCGAAAATGCAAACTGTTTTTTGTCTCGTCACATTCAGTTAGAAATTACAGCAGAGGAGTGCAAAAAAAAAATTACAATACTGGGATCCACGGTCAGTGCAGTGGAGAATGCTTGTGACGTCACTGGCAGAGGAAGCGCAGGTGACTCGATGCTGCAGGTGACTTTTGCTTTCATTTTTCTCCTGAAGGACGTGTGCTCTTTGATATGTGTTTGATATCTGTGTTTTTAAGCAAATGAAGTGGTTTCGTTGCTGTTTCGTGTTTTCTGTGGTTCGTTTTAGCGTTTGTGTTAACATAAGACCAAGATTGTGTATTTGAGTGAATGCTGTTTCTGGACTCTCAGGATCCGTTCAGCTGAATGATTAGTTTGTCATTTCCACTCAAGAGTAAGTGCTGGAGATCTCACTCTTCATCATGAATCACAGACAAACACCCCGAGATCAAGAGTTTTCTCCAGGATGCAGGTACTTTCAATACATACTATATTAAGCCTAAAAACGGCAAGACCATAAAGAGACATTCGGAAATTCATTTATTGCTATTTCGATCTTTTTTAGAACACGAATAGCTAATACAAATACATGACTTATTGTTTTAAAACATGACTTACAGTTTATACCCTTTGCGGTTATAAACTGATTGAAAACAGAAAGCTTGTTTGGAAATGCGTGTTACAACTTTTTAGCTACATTTTTAAAACATTTGTTGTAAAATTGTGTGAAACAATGTATATTTATGAAAATATTATCCTACTGTATCATATTTGATACAGAAATTTCTAGGGCCCATAAATTATTAACATGGTCAAAACTTCTGCTGCTAAACCTGTTGTATGCAATCTACTTTATGCCCTCAGATTGATAGTTTGTAATTTTACTGTGAAATCTTTCATGGTTTTATAATGTAAATGTAAGAAAAAACTTTTATATTGTTACTAATAATTCAAGATGAACATGTACTGGGCTGAACCAGCTTGGGTTTTCTTGATTATGCATTTATCATTTTTAATGTAAAAAAAAAAACGTTTCATTTTTTCATGTTAAAAAGTAATATTTGTTGAATATGACACAACATGCTTTTGAGGAAGGTTTATTTGTTTATATCTCAATAATCACTGAATTGCAATGAATTGTATATATGAGCCATAAAAACCTGATGTATGAATACGATACTAAACAAAAACACATGCAAACATATATTTTGTACATTTTTATACACAAGTTTGCATATGTGTTTTTGAGGAGTCGCTTATTTCATAGATACATATACTTATGTATACGTGTGTGTATATACACATGCCTGAAAAATAATCCATGTCTTGTTGATCTAAAACTAAATTCAGTATTGCTAACTAAATGATTAATGATTAAATGATTGACAATAAATCATCATTTAAGAGTTTGAAGTATTGAACTGATTTTCTGAAATAGGCTACAAAGTCTAAAGCAGGGTGTCAAACTCAGTTCCTGGAGGGCCACACCCTGCAGAGTTTAGCTCTAACTATAATTAAACACACCTGATCCAGCTAAACAGGTCCTTCAGGCTTATTTGGTATGTGTGTTATGCTGCGTTCAAGTCTTGCTGGGACAATCATACTTACGAGTTGAAAAAGTCATAATTGCGACATCAGGTGTATTCAAGTCACTTTGGTCGGAACAAGTAGGCGATTTAACTTTTCTACATAAAATTCTATGATTTTTAACTCTACAAATAATAAATAATGTGCATCATGTTTTTGTTTTAATTCAATTAATGAAGGTAATGTAAACTGAATCATTACATATTCTATGGTAATTATACAATAATATAATATTTTGTATATGTAAAAAAAATTATTCATTTCAACAAATATACCATCACTAGAGACGCTGCATATCTATAGTGTTTAGCTGCGTCCATTGCATCTGACACGTTTTCTTACTGACACGCCCCCAATTCAGAAACTCGGGGCTTAAAGAAAATTTTGAGTCTTCCACTTGTAATAATGAGCTTGTGGTGGCATTCATGTGCATTCAACTCATAATTACGATCAATCCGACATGACTTGAACGCACCATTAGAGCAGGGTTGAAACTCTGAAGGGCTGCGGCCCTCCAGAAACTGAATTTGACACCCCTGGCCTAAAGTCTATAAACCTAATAAGCTACAACTTAACAACAACTTTTTAAACATGCAAATATTGCAAATATATGAGATAATACATCAACTTTTATATGAGGGTGAGTATTTTCCCACAACAGACGGCCATGATTTTGTTAAATGCTGCTTGTCAGTAAAAAAAAGAATGTATGAAATAACACACATAACACCCTTTCAGTGTTTTTTAAGTTAAAAATGAGACTAGAACATGCTTATGAAGGTTTTTTTTATGATTTTAATTTTTTCTTTATTAAAATGAATGTCATCATTAAATCTGTTCAGCAGAAGAGATCAGAGCCATAGCTGTCTGTCATATTTATGTCATGTTTTTGTTTTATATTTAGTATTCATGTTATGGTATTTGTACTAGTTATTACGGCAGAGAGTTTATGAAAGAACTTTAGTTTATAGTTTCCGTATCAACAGAGTAATAATGAAAAGATCACATTTTTTTCAAATCAAAATTCAATATTACAGTTAATTATACAGTAATTCAAAGGATTCTTTTGTTATAGTTCAGTTCAACAGAAGAAATCAGAAGCAGAGCCCAGCTGTGTGTCTGTGAGGAGTGACGAATCTTTGGATCATCCAGTTAATTTTAAGAGTGATGATACAAGGTTTGACCTTAAGTATTACATTGTTTATAAAAGATGTGATTATACTAAGATATTTTTAATTAAACTGTCATAATTATACTATAATAAATAAATATGAGCAAAAATCTGGCTAGGAAATGTAATGACAACAAGCAGATATAGAGCACAGGGTACAATTTTTTTCTTTTTTTTTCTCTGTTTATTTAAATGGTATTTATTTGTTTCAGTTGTGACCTAGAGCAGGTGCACTTTTAATGAAGTCACAACTGTTATGCAGGTAATGAGAAAAAATGTCACCAATGTCAGAGTGTTTGATTCTTGATTCAAGGTTAATCCTGCAACACAGATCAGTAACAAAACCCATCTGTAAGAAATATGACCAGTCTATGAATCAACCACAAGACAGCACGTATCCTGGTGTCAGGTAAACTGTGGGATTTTTTTAATGCAGTGCATCATCACACATTACTGAAATGCATCATTAATAACTGACACATTTCATAAACTCTATGATATGTTCAGTGTCTCCTAACACAGAAAATAAGACATTTTGCCCCGTACATTTACCTCTGTAGCTCATGTAATAATGTGGTATTTTAATTTTCCAGACATGAAGCCCTCAACACGTTTAGATCCAATCTGATGAAGAAGTTTGAGCATCTGTATGAGGGAACAGCAACGCAGGGGGCTTGTATCAGGGGAAAGTCTTCTGCTTTGTTCATCTGAGCCTTCAGGAACATCTAGCAGCTCTATATGTGCACCTCTCCTGTACAAACCACAACAGAAATGTGTTTGAGCCCATCACCAAACAGAGTTTACGGTCTAAAATGAAGGAAGAGTTTCAACTCAGTTCATTAAAACATTTTTCATTATCTGAGCTGCATCAGAGAGCTGTGAAAGAGGTTCTACAGAGTAAAAATGGACATCTGGATCTTTTCCTGCGGTTCCTTCTGGGTTTGTCAGTGGAGTCTCATCAGATTCTCCTACAACGAATAATGACGCTGAAAAGAAGCAGCTCTGACAGCAATGAGAAAACAGCTAAGTACATCAAGAAGAAGATCAGGACCATTGACTCTCCAGAGAAATCCATCAATCTGTTCCACTGTCTGAATGAACTGGGTGATCGTTCACTAGTGGAGGAAATACAACAGTATCTGAAATCTGGAGGAATAAAGGAAGCCAAACTCTCTTCATCTCAGTGGTCAGCTGTAGTTTTTGTGTTGTTGACATCAGAAGATGAGCTGAATGAGTTTTGTCTTGATAAATTTGTTAAAGGAATGAATAATCCTGAAAATATGAAAGTTCTTCAGAAGTTGCTGGCTGTGATTAAAGAATCCAGATCAGTTCAGTAAGTATCAATGAGAACGATCACTTAAAACATTAAGAAAATCAAAGTTAAAAGCTCATAAATCTTCAGTGCTGTAGCTATTATTTTAGTGGTCAGCATTTTTATATTTTCAATACATTGACACTGTAAAAGATTTATTTAGGCATTTAAACAAAGCCAGAGAAGTCACATGTAAATAATTCAGGTTTTCAAATTAAAAATGTTAAAATTAACATAAAGAAGGAATTTAAATATGTCTCATCTGGCATAAAAGACCAAGTAGAAATCAAGAGAAAGTGGAGAAGCAGCTCAGATTTTCAACAGGTCTAATCTCCTAAAATCTGATGAATCAGTTACTGGAGCAAAACAGCAGCATACTTGAACACACACTTTTGAAGACAACATTTGAAATCTACAAGGTAGTTATTAATTATAATTGTTTATTTATATTTTTTGAGTTTTTACATTTTACAGAAGGGCATCTGGAATGACAAGAGCTAGATTTAAACTTATATTAAAACACAAAAACTATCTGACAGTTCACAGTCCAGCATGTGGATTATTTTTAAACATGTTAAACCAGTTAGAAGTTGAATTAAATTAATTTCATTTTTACTCAATTACAATACAATTACATACAATTACAATTTTACTCAATTAATAGATGAATGTTAATTTAATCCAGTTTAAAAAATTTTTGTGTGTCAATTTGCCCATGAAACTTGGACAATTTGACATTAAGAAATGCATGTGCAGTTTTTTTTTCTCTCATGGTTTGAATTAATTTAATTGTATTGGAATTGCAAGTTGTTGTTCATTGCAGCAAGTTTGTTTGCGTATTTGATAGCTGTTTGATAGTGTTTCACATGTATGATTTTCATCTCTCTACAGGTTGAGTGATTGTGGCGTCACAGATGAAGGTTGTGCTGCTCTGGCTTCAGCTCTGAGATCAAACCCCTCACACCTGAGAGAACTGGATCTGTCTGAGAATAAACTAAAAAGTTCTAGTATGAAGCTGCTCTCTGCTGTACTGGAGGATCCTCACTGTAAACTGGAGAAACTGTGGTAAGATCATACTGTATATGACTCACACATGCTATGCAGTGCAGTGTTTCCCAACCGTTTTTCTGCCGTGGCACAGATTTGATAAGTAAAAAATCTCACGGCACACCACTAAGCACTAAAACAAAAAAGTTTTTTCCCCCAATAATTAAACAATGCGTCGTTAGAGTTGGTATTTTGGATTCATATATGATCAGGCACTTGCACTTAACATTTTCTGAAAATCATGCTCAAATGCAGTGTTGGGCCAGTTACTCTGAAAATGTAACTGACTGGCCACCGACACGTAGACTTTCAAGGTGGAGTGGGTCAATAAGTGGGAATGGTCTCAACAACCTCGGTTGAAAGACAGGAAGCTGCGAGTTGTGCCCCCCCCAGGGGCCACACCCACGCTTCCACAGCTCCGGGCGGGGGTGAAGATAGTACCCTCCGCCTGTGAGAGGAGATCCCTCCTCTCCTCAGAGGAAGAGAGGTAAACACGTGCTCTTACTCGAGAAATTTTTATCCCAAGAGCCCCTGTATATCTAACTTCTCATAGTCAGATAAATACTTCATTTTATTCCTCAGAATTAAATGCAATCAAACAACCAGACGAGTAAAAATCTAAATGATGTAATACACGCGTTGCCTCGGCAGCACGCAAGCCGCTTGGTCACACAAACAATATCAATCTCCTTGGAGAAAAATAGCTACAGCAGCAGAGCTCTCACTCAGAGGGGGAAGAAACCGCAGCACGGGCTTCCGAGCCTCGAGAGAGAACGCTGGATCTAGGGAGTGCAGGCGGAGAAAGGGCGAGCCGTCTCCAACCCATCCGCTTGATCCACGTGCGATCCCCACGATCTGAATCGCCGCCGTGCCTCAGCAATAGCTGGACCGAACCGCGAGCTCACAAGCCCTGACACACTCCTCGGAGCGTGCCCGGCGGGAGCGGAGCGTTCAGCGGGGAGAAGCACAATCAGCCGCTTATTCCCGAGAGCTGACTGCGCGAGCTCAGCTCCCAAGCAGACAACACACAACTGTGTGTGTCCCCACCCAAAATATAGCACGGGCAGGGAGGAATACACTCTTGCCCAAATGCTTCTTTTTGCTGAAGGTCCCGTGAATCATTTTATTCTCCCGCATCCCGCACACACACAAGTATCTGCACTCGCCTATCAAGTTTTGTCCCGCGTCGCACTGCTGTTGCGTCGGGTCTCGCGTGAGCAGGTCTCGAATTCACTGGCACTTGACTTGACAGTGCGGCACTTGACTCGACAGTGCCTGAGCTACATCCTTTACAATCTCTAGATTATAAATCACTGCATTCTGTCAGCAATGTGATGCGGCAGTAACGTATAGAGACCTCAGCTTGTAACTATTTGTTACTCTAATTACTATTTTGAAAATTATAACGCGTTAAATTACTCCGTTACTAAAAAAGTAATCAAATTACAGTAACTCGTTACTAAGTAATGCGTTACTGCCCAACACTGCTCAAATGGTGTTAACGGGGTTTTTGACGAGCGAATGTCGGAGGCCTATGTGTTTTGTCCGTCATTAGAATGGGTAGTTAATCTAAGGCAGTAAATTAATTGCATTACATTTTCATCAATTTACAGGTTATAAAGTTTATTGTGGCTATATGGGCGCTCAGTTTCTCTTGTTATTTACATTTGACCAAAATCTCATGATATAAAAGATTAACCGCTATGCACAGGATATTTAAAACGTACAAAAGTATATTGGCTACATCTAGACGGCAATGCTAAGACTCTTCTCTGCTCTCTAAACACACAAAAACATTCGCCTTTATAGACGGTGTTTAAAGTGAGTAAAGAAAACGCTGTATTTATTCAAACATCAGTTCTTTATTACCGTTGCATTGTGAAGAAGTAGACATCTGTCTTCAAACTGCGCGTCACAGCACTTTATTCTGAATGGAGTTATGAGGTTTGATTGACAATTTGAGGAACCAATGGCGTTACGAGGTTTAGTCACAAGCTCTTTCGAATGCTTTTCTTTGGTTAAATATTTGTAAATCCCACAAACAGACGTAACGATGACCAATAGCACTGATTTAAAATAATAATAACGAAATGTAATAGAGATATTAAGTTTGTGATAATTTTCCACGGCACACCCGACAACCTGTCACAGCACACTAGTGTGCAAACACTGATGTAGTGAATAGTGTCATCAATTAAGACAGATTTGCATAAGACAGACATTTTGCATAAAATACAGATATAGTGCATATAAGAAATATTTATCCTACTTGAATGATACTTTGGATGTTTTGTTATCATGTTTTGTGTTATGTGACATTTTAGATCTTAGTCCAATGATCCATCAAACATATTGATTTGTGCTTTAAGTTTGTACTTTATCTTTAATAATTGATTCACAGCTAAACTGATCTGATCTAAGAGAGTGAAGAGAGTGTCATTGTTCTCTACAGGTTGAGGGTTTGTGGCGTCACAGATGAAGGTTGTGCTGCTCTGGCTTCAGCTCTGAGATCAAACCCCTCACACCTGAGAGAACTGGATCTGTCTGTGAATAAACTAGGAGATTCAGTGAAGCTGCTTTCTGATGTACTACAGGATCCTCACTGTAAACTGGAGACACTGTGGTAAGATCATATATGACTCACACATGAAGCACATTTAAAGTAAATATGAAGGGTTCAGCCTCAACTTTTTAGTATTAAAAATAAACAGCATTGCAAAAGTAATTGGTTCTGATGTTCACTGTAGTTTATATGCACAGTAGAGGATATCTGCATTTGTTACAGAAGCAATTACATGAATACCATCAAGTGAAAAATCCAACTGAAGATAAACAAGATACAATCTTAATAACACAGAACGGTTTCAAGTTCTTACAAACAGAAACTGTCTGTATGCATTTCTGTCAACTTTATTTGTTGCACAATGAACTAGAGATGCTCCAATCCGTCTTTTTGGCCTCTAATACCGATTCTGACACCTGGGGTTCAGTATTATCTGCAGTTTTTCTTTCTTTTAAATCCATGTAGAATTTGTATATCTCTGTGTGTGGAACTGATAATCACTCTTTCACAATCAACTAAATACAGACTAATTAATTATGAAGAAAAAAAAATATGAAAAAAAAATATTATAAACTAGGTTAGTGGATAATTCAGCAGCTAATGTTATTTAAAAAAATCAGTGCACAATAATTTTATAAATCTAAATATATAGTGAAAAAACATTATTTAGTGGGGAACAAATAAAAGTGTAGCACTAAATCTGGTAAAATGTTGCACGTTGCTATTTGTATTGTTATAAAATCCATTTATGAAAAACAATATATTTATATATAAACATACTATAAAATGAAAAGACATTTCTTTTAAATGTATAGCGCATTATACGTATAGGCAACAACATGTGATGGATAGGATAAAATAAATACATTGCGGCACAAAGCGCTTACAGTATGAGCATCCGGTGTGCAGAATGATGCACTTGAAGCAACACGGAGTTGATGTACACAGCACTTCACATTAAAAAGTTCAAAGCACAAAGGGAAGAGATATTGATGTGTAGTGTATTATATCTGTGCAACACTTTATTTTCTTTTAACAGATTTAAATTTCAGTTACAGTTAGTGGTGCAACGGATCACAAAACTCACGGTTCGGATCATATACGGATTTTGAGTCATGGATCGGATCATTTTTTGGATCAGAACAAAAAACAAAAAAAAACCTTACTTTAAGTACTTCTATACCACAGAAAAAACTACTATCTTAACTAATAAAGTTAGTAATAAAACAAGAACAATTACACAAATTATAAGCATAGATGAAAACTAAAAATCACAGTTACAAATATCAGTATTTAGGTGCAGAAATGTAATAATTAAGTTTAACTCAATAGTGCTCACTGCACAAGTTCAATACAGATTAATCTTTGTTAGAGCTGTGGTGTTATTTGATTAGCAGACAGAAACAGGTATTTATTGGCTGCTGTCGCTTTAAGACCAAATGCACGGCCCTAATACTGACACACATCCGGTTTCTTTCTCACCTGTTTACGTTCACTTAAGACATAACCGACTGTGTTTACTAGAATACTTGCCAAAGTGGGTATTTTAACATAACTTTGTGTGTATGTGAAAGAGGAATCACGCGGTGTCTGAATCACGCCTCTCTCTCTCTCTGCGTGTGCGTGCTTCGGTTGCGGCTAAGCGCACAGAAAAAAGCGCGCGAGTTAAAACTGCTTGAATGTGTAAACTGGCAAGACAAAACGTGCAAATTGTAAACTTTCACTCTATGATGGTTAAACTTAACAGTTAATCCGCGAATCACATGCGTGCCGAACCGTGGGGCCTGGTCCGTACGGATCTTCTACTATACCGTTGCACCCTAGTTACTGTGCACTTTAAACTTTTCTACTCCTGTGTTTTGTTCTAACAGACATCCGGTATCAAGTAACATGATTTAGAAACAATCAACTCCAGCGAGATAAAGTCATTTTATGCAAAACCATAGACATTTATCTACAAATCAAGTATATTAATGGGAACACTGAAGGATCTTTGAGAGGGTTTTACCGAGCTGACTGTAGTAACCGAACGCTACCAGGGTTTGAATGATGACTGACAGCAGCAGCGGAGAAAAGAGTTTGTTAACTTGAATTCAACGGCTTAAATAATCAAAACTTTATGGTGCTTTATAATGTTAAAAACGTTAAAAGATTTTCACCTTTCACCTTTAAATACTGTATATTAAATTTAGATGTTTTATGTTCTGTGACATTTTAGACCTCAGTTAATAATTAGATTAGATTCAACTTTATTGTCATTGCACATGTAAAGTGTAACGGAAGAGGTCTGACGCAACAGGTTAGTATATCAATCAAGTTTATTTTGTCACAGAGAGTACGGGTGTAGGATCCAGGTGATGACACGGTGAGTGTATAGTTCGTAGAACAGGTTAAAGGATATGATGAGTGGAATGATCAGAGTCCTTTCTTATACAGGAGCTGGAATGCACACGGAAGAGCACACACCCCAGCGATCCAGGAACTAGGAGGAACAGGAGACACTTGGAGACGAGGAGACACTAGGAGGAACACAGGAGGTAAGTAATGCAGGAAGTATTCAAATGGAAGCAGTAGTAAAGTCAGAGAGTCCTCTACGTGTGTACGAGACCAGACAATGAGGGTGTCTGAGGTGTGGTGACAAAGTCTACTCCTAGGTGTGACCAGGGGCGATTTGGCACTGGTAGAGGAAGGAGTTTGCCAGATGGTAAGTGGCGTGGGCTTTTGGACATGGCACAGTCTGGACATCCTTGCACGAACCTTCTCACGTCCCTTGCCATATTGGGCCACCAGAAGCGATCTCGTAGCAGCGAGAGGGTGTTGTTGGCCCCTGGGTGGCCAGTGCCCCGAGAAGAGTGAGCAGAGTGAATCAGTGGGGTGTGTTGTGTTCGTGGTACATACTGGCATCCTGGAGGACAGCCCGGTGGATTGTTGGGAGCCGTGTTTGAGGCTACGGAGGGGGAATTCCATTCAATGGGACTGATGATCATCTTTGGTGGGATGATACTCTCCGGTTCTTCTGGACCTTCCACATGACTGTGAATACGTGACAAGGCGTCTGCCTTGACGTTTCTGGGACCAGGGCGATAAGTAATGGTAAAGTTAAACCTGGTAAAGAATAATGCCCATCGTGCTTGGCGGGTATTCAGACGTTTAGCCTCACGTAGATACTGGAGATTCTTATGGTCGGTCAGTACGGTGAATGGATGGGCTGCCCCCTCCAGCCAATGCCTCCAGTCCTCTAAGGCAAGCTTGATGGCCAGTAGTTCTCTGTTGCCAATGTCATAATTACTTTCCGCTGGGCTGAGCTTCCTAGAGAAGAAGACTCATGGATGGAGTCTGGCTGGGTTCCCCTGCTGCTGGGACAACACTGCCCCCACTCCTGTAGTGGAGGCGTCAACTTTCACGACGAATGGGAGGTCGGGATCTGGATGGACTAGGAGTGGGGCGCTAGTGAAGGCTCTCTTGAGGGAGGAGAAAGCTTCTAAGGCCGCGGGTGTCCAGGACAGAGACTTGGGTTTCCCTCGGAGTAAGTTGGTGAGGGGGCTGGTGATCCTGCTGTAGCCTAGAATGAAGCGACGGTAAAAGTTGGCAAATCCAAGGAATCGTTGGAGCTCCTTAATTGTGGTGGGTTCTGGCCAGGAGGTTATAGCTTCCACCTTCCCCTCGTCCATCTGGATACCGGTACGATCAATGTTATACCCCAGGAATTGCACC